GGAGGAGGGGGAGGAGGAGGGGGAGCAGGAAGAAGAAAGAGAGTCTGAGAGTCGGAGAGAGTCCGGCCACATCTGTTAAAACTTGGGGGAGGAGGAATGCGGGGAGGAGGAGGAAGAGGAGGCGGAGAGGCGCGCAGGAGAAGCGCGCGGGAGGGGAGCGCGCAGCGGGGACAACTTCTGCACCCCGTGAGTAGCGCGGGCAGCGCGGGTCCGGGCGGGGGGTGCCTGGCGGGATGGGACCTCACTCCGGAAAGTGGATCGGAAGCCCGCAGGGGCGGCCTGTGGGGGAGTTCTTTCTTTCTCTTCTCCCCTCCCTCCCGCGGCGGAACCAAATCAGAACTGTCACTCAGGGCCTGTGAGTCAGAAGGGATCGGATTACACGATCCTTGCAACTGATGCCCGAGCTGCAAGAACGGGCGGGAGCAGGCCGGGCACACTCGCGCTCGCGCACCCAGCCGCCTCCCACGCGCCCCGCCGCCCGAGCCCCCGCACTATGCCCGCGGCGGGCGCACCCCGCGCCCATCCCCGCCGCTCGAGGTAGCCGCCGCCACCCGTTCGCCCGCGCCCGGGACCGGGTCTATGGGACGCTCGGGGACTTGACAGCCGCCGCCGCGCCGCAGGTACGTCCCGCCCGAAGTTCTTTGTTTTGCGGCCACGCAGCCAGGTCCCGCGGCAGCGTCCCTGGCCTCCGGGTGCGGAGGTGGTCCCCAGCCGGGGAGCAGGATGGGACGAAAATGGCTGTCACCAGGCGCCCAGATGGAGAGAGCCTCCTGTAAGGGTCGCAGCAAGTCTCTTCCCACCCTCTTGGAGGTCCCTTTCCAAGTGCCGGCCTCTCCAGCTGTCCAGACAGACTGCAGAATTGCGCATCCCGCAGCGGGCGCGAAGTTTGCATTGGCGGCCACTGCGCCCCTCGCCTACACTCCTGCTCAAAGTGTTAAAAAGAGCTCCGCGAGCCCCCGAGCCTCGGGTTGAGTCCTCTGCGCTCGGGGCTCCGGCGCTGGGCGCGCAAGGCCCTCGGACGCGCGGAGGAGGCGGCCGCGAGGTGGGGACGCGCGGGGACCGTAGCTGCCGGCGCTCACTGCAGCCGGGGCTTCTCTTCCGAGGGCGGGGGTGTGGTGTTAGCAGATGCAGAGGCGCGCCTCCGTCGTCAGAGAGGAAAAGTGAAAGTTGTACCATCTGTATATGATTTGGGATTCTCTTTTATTTATTTTCCTTTCTAGGGGCAGCACACACGCGCACCCACAAATACACACACGAACAAAGTAGCCGTGGCCCTTGCAGCAATCATTTTGGAGGTTGCGTTTACACGGAACAGAGTGGGGACTGCATCTCTGCAGGGACAGAGAATTTCTAGAGTTTCAGTACAGAAAATGGGCGGGAGGAGGTGGAGAGGAAACAAATATTGATCCCCAAACTTGGAGTTTGTGAAGCGACTTATAAGCAGATTGGTAGATGCAGGCGCTCCACTCCATACCCAGCTTTTCATCCTTTTCTGAACTTGGTGCTCGTGTACCCTTTGCCATAAGATGCCCTCCCACAGGAAGCTCAGGACCCCCGGGCTTCCCGTGCTAACTTGGGCCAAGATTGAAGAGGTTTCCCCCGTTGTTTTGTTTCAATCCAGATTCCCAACTTATATCCCTGGTGTAGACTGCCGGATAGATTCTGGCCTTGGGTACAGAGCTCGTGGCCCTCCGCCAGTTTATATGTACATATATTTATGTAAAACATTTTCTCCCAGCTCTCTGCCAGCTGTTCCACATTTTCCAGCTGCCACATCAGTTTGAAATGATGGACTGTCCGAGTCTCCCAGTAAAAGAGCCCTTTCCTTAGAGGTATGGAGAGCCGGCCCCTGCAAATACATGGGCAGTGCCATTAGTATATTCTGAAAACACCTCCTGCTCGCTCTCCTTCCCTCTTCTCCCCAGTTAGCCTTTGCAGAGCACAATGAGGACACTCAGCTCAAAATTCAAGTAATTGGGCTTTTCCCTCCTAAATGTGATTTTGGCGGAGGCCATTTTTTTTTTTTTTTTCTTTTTTAGATCTTTGAAATACGTGTCTGGTGGAAATAAATTGACTTTCAGAAAAGAGTTGCGGCTTGAGCGCGTTGGGATGACTTGTGTGGCGGGGCAGGCTGTGCCATGGCCATCTGAAATAATCTCATTCTAGTCTGTTTAAGGCAGGGACGATTCAGCCTCTCCCTGGCACACTTTTTGTGTGGCTTGACTTCTGGTGTTGTAGACCAAAATCTTCAAGAATTGGCCTAAAGTATTAATTTTGAGTATTTATGTAATTGCTCTGTAATTTGAATAGGTGCCTTATTGATTGATTCCTGTAATTATTTCATTTAGGTTTTAAATTAAAAATTAATAATAGTCTGACAGCTTCTTAATTACATGTGTCAAGATTATTTTGAAGGAAGAAAATGCTATGTTTTAAAATAGTGGAAATAACTCTCAAATTTCTTCATTTTTCCAAAGCAGAGCAGAATTTCAGTTGAGGGGATTTATTAAAGCAGTGGTGATTGGTTTTAGCAGAGGGAACTGTGAAGTATCCTTAGAATTTGTTTATGTTAGGAAATACTGTTCTTAACCTGATACACAAATACATGGCCAGTTAGATTATAGTCAAACCTAAAACAAACATGAAATAACATTTAAATTAGTTGGAATAGCATATTTATACCGAGCAGAGAGTTTATTTTACACTAAAAGCTATTTAATTAGAAGCTCTCTGCCTAAGGGGAGATCCTTTCAGGAAATATAATTCTGAAAGTCAGCCTAGGGAAGTTTTGGTTTAAGACGCATGAATGAGTTCAATGTGAGATGTGTCTAGTGAAATTTTTACACAAGCAAAAACACTTTAAAAGGTATAGATTGCATTATTTCTAATAGGCTGGTAGCATTGGCCCTGATGCCTACCAATTCCCTGTGCTTTTAACATGCTTGTGTTCCTTGATTGAACCCTGATAGACACACATTTTTATTGTATGTGTCTCATTTGCTGAGGACCACAGATAGAAATGAGAAAATTCAGCACTGATGAAAAATGGCCCTGCTCCGTTATTTCATTACTTATTTAATGAAAGAATCGTTAATTTATCAATTTGATGCCCCAGCCTAAAAGTTGGACTTGCCTTTGTTTCTTCACCAGTGAAGTTTCTTTAATTACCTGCATGCGGTTAAGGGTTTCAGACTTCCTCTGGGCTCGCGGTTTAGAGGTCCTTGCTCCTAGGTAAGGTATCCTGCTTCCTGAGATCCCCTTCCTCCTGTGCTGAGGGTAGAATTTGGGAGCTTACGGAAGGAAACAATTTAATGATCATCCTTGCATGCACCCACATGGAGACAGCAGCGCACTAAGAAAAGCCAGTCTTGAAGGAGAAGTGAATCAGTGAGTCATGAAATGCTCAAGAAAACCTTAGTAATGGAATGTTAATGCTTGTAGACTATAGTAGATTATCTTAAAAGTCAGACTTTTCTTCTTTATGCAATTGTGGTAAATCCCCAGCTAAAGAATTCTTTGAAGGAGGTTTTAAGTTCTGCTGGCATTCGTTTGCTCAGGTTGTCTGCTGTGTTTTGGAAGATTCAAGTCCTTTTCTGCGAACTTAACATCACGAGAGCCAATTAAAAGGCTGAAATGACTACAGAAGAAACAAATACATATATATTTGTTAAGCAAAAGATGAACTCTAATAATGATTTCAGGTTGTCTTCTCATTAATGCCTGGAAGAAGCTGGCGCCCTTCACTTCATGTTGTCATTTTCCTAGATGAAAATTGATCAGTTCTAGTTTCAAAGCAAATACAGGGAGACAGAATAAACAACAACAGGGGCAGGAGTACTGCTGCAAACTTTTTCAGGTACTTTCAGTGTATTTTTCATCTTTACTTTTATTTGATGGGCCTGTGAAATAGAGCTGTAGACTGGCGAAGACTTTAAATGAAATTTCACACTTTGATGATTTTTTTTTAAACTTTGATATATTGACAGCAAAAGGAGCTGCAAAGCTTTTATATAACTTGAGCAGTAACGCCAAGCAGCAGTCAAACGTCTCCCTGCATTTGTGTTTAACTGCAGAAGAAAAACATGTCCATGGGCAGTAGAGGTTCTTACCAGCCCCCTAATCCCAGATCCCAGTAAACCTTGAGGGCATGCCTCAGATCTCACTGAAACCACTGTGGACTCTCACAGTTTGCAGATTAAATATGCTATGTGTTCCTGGCTCCAACAACAGTTTTATGAGCTCACTAAGCTTTCTGTTTTAAGATCCTTTTCTTAAGTTTTTAGGACCTGCTGAAGGCGATGCTGTCTGGCACTTGTTAATTTACAGACACTTTAGATATTTCATTCTCTCTTTAAGAATTGCCAAAATTGTTATTTCTAAATGGAAAGGCTAACTAATGCCGGGGGAAGAGGGGAGAAAAGCTGTTGGAGAGAAATTGAATGCTAAATGTGTTTGTAAGCGCATTTGAGTGCAAACTTTTACGTGGTGTCTCTGTTGGTTTATGCTATTTTCCTTTTCCTGGCCCCTGAAAATTAGACTTTTTCCATTTGTAATTCTAAATGCACTATATTTTAGTATATTTCTTAGCTCCTTATTAGCACTGTATTTTGTTATTGTTGTCGTCCCCCCACACTTCTTTAATGTGAAAGTGTTTTTTGTTCTGGGTGTGTATATTTCAATCCGACAAAATGTCTGAGAAAATCTATGGCTTTCTAAAGAAGCTGAATGAAAAAGCCAT